GTAAGATTTTTCTTAATAATCTTACTCCCTTGAAGAGCTTAAGATGGTTTTTGCTATTATCTATATGCTAATATCCCTTAACCTCTTTATTTGCTGCTTATTTGGGTAATAGTAGTAGATTTCTCATTTGGTTGCAATGAAGATCCCATGAGTTAATATACATGAAGCACTTAGAGCAGTGAGTGGCATGAAAAGGCATTCAATAAAGTAAGCTTCTACTGTTGCTATTATTATAACCTCAATATCAATACAGTTAAAACATTCTTATTTTAGAACCAAATGACTTGCCCATAAGCAGTTGCCACTATTTTTTAAAACTCACAAGGTAAATAATAATAATAATAATAATAATAATCAAAAACATTTCTAGTACATTCCTACATAAAAAGTACTAGTTTTCATATCTTTCTGTACTATAAATATTTCAACTATGGTATCTTGTAAACCATTTTTGAAAAACACTTATACACTAGAAAGATGCAGAACCTAAATATCACATCTTATGAAAAATCGCCTGAAAAACTGAGTGGATTTAGAGAAGAGAGAGGATGAAAGGGGTATAATTATAGTCTACAATAACTGAACTAAGAGGCCAGGACCAATATGTAAATGGATTTTTTAAGATTTTATTTTCAATTACAGTTTACATTCAATATTGTTTTATATTCATTTCAAGTGTGCTGCACAGTGGTCAGACAATCAGATACTTTGCAGAGTGGTCCCCTCAATGTTTTAAATACCCACCCGACACCATACATAGTTATTACAATATTATTGACTGCATTCCCTACGCTGTACTTTACTCCTCTCTTGGTGTAAAGTTTTCCCTCATGTGCTGATATCTCAAGTTTATGTTTTTGCCTTTGGTTATGGCAAGTAATCTTAGCAAATGTTTAATCCATCAGTTTATAAATAGGTTAAGTACCAAAAAGAACACTCAGATAAACAAAATAGGATATATGTAAATAATTTTTCTTGCTGCTATTTGGCCTGTGGGCTCTCCATCATGCCCGTGGATATTTATTTACTGGGAAACCAGAATCTCCCCTTTGTCTGCTTTCCACTCCCAGAAAAAGCATAGCCTCGTACCAGAAGAAATCTTGGTATAAATACATGCCTGGTAACACATCCGTGTTTTTACATGGCTGTCCGTGTGAACAACTGTCTTCTGCATTGCATTTCATGATCACCACTAATAGATTATTATGATTTCTCATTTTCAGCAAGCTCACCAAAGAACTGTTTTCTTATAGAATCAGAAAACAAAGTCATTCTCTTTCATAAAACGGTTTTTAATAGAAGGGCCAAAGAGAAATTAAAGAGGAAAAACACTGAGGAACACTTTCAAATGTAACTTTGCAACATGGCTCACACCTCTCCTCCCAGATTTTCCTCTACATCTCCACTCCCAGCATCTCATTTATTCTTAACCTTATCACTATAAAACTCCAAACAATTTATCTAATTCTAGTATTTTGACCTGCCTCCAATACACTATACTCAGTATCACCTCCCTTGTCAGTCTCCCACTTGGAAGAAATATTTTAAATGTTCCATTTATAACAGAATAAAGGCCAAACTTCTGGGTGCCTAGTGCTTCTTGACCTGGTAACAACATACTTTTTTTAATTTATTTTAACCTGTATTCTCTCTCATAGCCTTTGGCTCCAGCTAAACCAAGTATTTTCTGTTGTTCAAACTCAGAAAATCTTAGTTCCTTGGCTCATTCTGCCCCCTCTCCTTGGAGTGACCTTTCATAAATGTTCTGCTTGTAATCCAGTCTATCTATAACCAGAAAAGCTGGCAGATGGTGGTTTACACCCAATAGGAGTTTATTTTTTTATTGTGTAAAAACAAGTTCAGACATGACTGTCCAATATTGGGCATATGAATTCACAGAACCATGGGGAGCCCAGACTACTTATAAATTTTAATCTTCTGCTTCTTGCCTCATGTTTGCAAAATGACTGCTCCATTGCCAACACCACCTCAATATTCCAAGCAGGAAGAAAGGGAAACATCAAGTGGCAGCTAAGTCTCCTTATTTTAAAATTGTCCTAAATTCAGTCACTTTCAGATATATTTCATTGGCCAGTATTATATCATACATTAAACTAGGCTACAAAGAAAAATGAAATATAGCAAATTACTAGTCACATGCTTGTGCTAAAGAATAAGAGAGGAAAAGCCCTTGCTGGTTTGGCTCAGTGGATAGAGCATCAGCCTGTGGACTGAAGGGTCCCAGGTTCGATTCCGGTCAAGGGCATGTATCTCGATTGCAGGCTCCTCTCTGGCCCCAGCCCTGGTTAGGGTTTGTGCAGAAGGCAACCAATGGATGTGTTTCTCTCACATCAATATTTCTCTCTACCTTTCCCTCTTTCTTCCACTCTCTCTAAAAAAAAATCAATAGAAAAATATCCTCAGGTGAGAATTAAAAAAAAAAGAATGAGGGAGAAAAAAAAATAAGATGCAATCCACATGCATTCAGCAACATTGATCACAAAGCCTTTTCTCAAATTGCTATCTTCCCTAAGGGGGTGTCCTGGAGCCTCTCAGACAACTACATACTAGTATAAATGCCATTTGCACCCAAACTTATTTTTTATTGACTTTCATAATTATCTTTCTTTTCCGCGAGATCTAAAATGACGATGATCTTTGTACCCTCTAGTGCAGCAGGCACAAAGACAATTAGTTATATTTGAATAGGTTTAACCTGATATATGAGGAAGAAAAGGAGAACTATTTTCTGTAGTTAAGTATGATTCTATTCCACTCTAGTGAAAGCATGACTTAGGTAACTTGACCAAAGACAGACAACCCTCTACCAGATATAGCCTAAGCCTATTTTTCTATAGTCCATGAGAAAAGGATAGCTTTTATATTCTTATGGTATTTGAAAAAATAAAACAAGAATATGCAACAGGGACTGTATGTAGCCTACAAGCCTGAAATATGTACTATTTGCTCTTTTACAAAAATTATTTCCAACTCCTGACTTCGATAAAATTTACTACACTTTTCCATTTTGTCCATGTGTATCATATGAGACTTAATGGGCTCGTTACACTATGCCAGACATCACTGTCCTTGGAAACCATTCTTATGAGAAACCTGCCAGCTGCCCCTTCTATCAGGAAAACTAAATTCCATACTCCTTCCGCAGAGAAACTGACATTGGAACTTCCTGAGGGACTCTTTTTCAATCTGAGATAAATAGTCACTCAAGTTTGAACTAAATTAGATTTTTAATGATTTTTTAGGTAACAGCGCTCTCCTGTTGCTAAATAAATGATTAAGAGAAAATAGATGGGAGTTCCCAAATGAAAATAAGCATGAATCTCAGTGAATTTTATTTTCCTTTCCATCACTAGATAACTTTAGAGGGATTTGGCTAAATGAAAAGAGAGCCCCCCCCCTTTTTTTTGTCTTGGCCCTCCTTAATAATCTGACTACATTATCCAAGCTACAGAAATAAATATAAAGCAATCACCTAAAAGTTGTTTTATTTTAATATTGTGGGAAGAATTTTTTAAGTTCTTTTAATGATGTATCAAATTTTTCATCAATGACTTTGAGAAAGATGGAGAGCTAATTCTGTCTTGCTTGTCACTAAACCCTCCATTGAAGTTGCTGTGCCTGGTACAAAGAAGATACTTGTTAAGCAGTCACTCTGTGTGTGTGTCTGCCTCCCCTTCCTCCCAAGACAATGAAGCTTTGTTTCTGTTGTCACATGTCCCCTTCTATTCATGATGACCTAATTATAATGTGAAAGAAATTAAGAAGTTCTACTTCTTCAGTATAAAATCTATGTCTTCCACCTAAGTTTAGATTCCTGGAGAATGACATATGAAGAAAGTGAGATTTAAAACATTGATATGATTTCTGAAGGTCAAATTGATAGCCATGGTTGGAATCAGAATCAACACTGAGGTGCTCAGTTCACAGCACATGCCTCTCTCTCACTTGACTCCCTTACCTGCCAATACTGCATCTTCTCAAATTTGGTGGATTTCTTAATAAAAAGAAGTGTTGCATTCCCAAGGAAAGCCATGAAAGTATTCATGAAAGGGTTAGAGTAAACTAACCAAAATCTCAATTCAAACAGAAATTCTTCAGCAAACAAACCAAACACATTCTTTGCAGAGTCCAGGAACTCTATATCATATTGAGAAAATGCACTATAAAAATTAAAGAGAATTAATGATAGAATAGACATAGTACAATGTATTGGATTACAGTACCTCTTCAAGTAAAATCTAAAATTGATTAATATTCTCCTTACTAAAACAAGCTTAGTAATTTTGTGTCACAGAATTTTTTTCAAAAGGCATGTGCAGCTCTGGCCTGTGTGGCTCAGTTGGTTGGGCATCCTCTCAGGCACCAAAGGGTTGCCAGTTCAGTTCCCAATCAGGGCACATGCCCAGGTTATAGACTCCACCCCCGATTGAGAGGCATATAGGAGACAGTCAATAGATGTTGTGCTCTCACAATGATATTTCTCTTTCTTCCTCTCTAAAAATCAATAAATTATTCTTTTTTTAAATAGCTTGTACAATTAGGCATCAGTTAAAATAGTACAAGTATGATTGCTGTGCTTTCAGTTTATGGAACATTTTTCTTTCTCACAAAAATTCCAGAGCTTTTAAACAAACAGAACTTAAAAGTGCACGTCATTGGTTCTGAATTTATTTTTTAAAATGACTATGAGAAAAACAAGGAATTCTTTGGACCCTGACTCAGCATGTTCATCTTATTGACTTTTAGTCAATGTGTTTCTATTTACCACATATGAAATACTCTCACCAGGACAAAGGTCCCAGCAACTGCTAAGTCAAACCTCAAACTCTGGCAAATGAGCAAATAGCCCAAGCCAGGGTCTACTTGAATTGTTTACATTCTTAGAGGTCAAATTCAGACCCAATCTGCCTGTGATGCCTTGTTAACACTGATTTGCCATAGCAGATAGCTGACGGGATTTACCTGCAAGGACCAGAAACATGCACTGTGCCATCCAGAAGGCAGAGGTGCTGGATGGGGCTCATCTGATGCAGATTCTCTGGCAGGATGGCACGGAGTCCTTCTACCCTGCTGTATGGCTGAGGGACAACTGCCAGTGCCCCCACTGCTACCTGGATTCTGCAAAAGCACGGAAATTTCTCGTGGAATCTCTTGATGTGAACATTGGTATTAAAGACTTGTCTTTTGACAGGAAAAGGGTAATTATCTCTAACTTACCATTTCTCCCTTTCTTCCCAAGATAAATAAAGGGGTTGGTCTCCAATAATATAAATAATGAATTATTATTGGATCATACGTATCATTGGGTTTGGGTAGGGCTGGGTGCAAAGTAAGTCTGTTCAGTAACTGAAAGATTCTATTATTATTACTATTTTTATTACTACAACTATTGTTCGTAAAATCTAATGTGGCTCATTATTCCTTTAGTGACTGACAGCCTTGAAGATACAAACAAACTATTTCTATAATAAAAAGAATGCTTCTGGGCCTCAGTTAACTCGTCTGTGAAACAGGGAGACTTTGCTCAGAGAGATAATGTGAAGGTTCAATGAGATAATATAGATAAAATGTTTAGCATAGTGCCTAGCATTATGGTAAGCACTCAAAATTAATGACTAGATGTACAAGGCTTGTTCTAGAATCCCCAAAAGCATAGCTCTCAAAGCCACAAATTAGATGTGGCCACCACCCTATGCTTCTCTCTTCCAAATACTCGGATAGCTACCAGAGAAGCAAAGGTGACCAGCCAAGTCACCTTCCTCCCACTCTTGTCTTCATCTCCACTGGAGCACTTTACTCCCAGGGGTCCCTGCATGCTAGCTGGGTGGCCATAGAAATCGTATTTACTCTTACATTCCCCACCTAAAATAATGTCAATGATAGGAATGCCTTCTCCCTAGAGTTGCATGAGGACTAATGAGTTATGTGTGTAGTGCTCATTATACAGCATGCACTCAATGTGGTGTTATTTGTGCTATTATTATTACCTGCCTGGTCATATCATTACTATCTCTGATACTCTAACATCAGATCATGGCAGAAAGTCTGGAAATCACAGGTTTAGAGAATACAGAAAAAGAATGTAAGGTCTAGCTAGGTTTTATTACTTGTGTGACATTTAAGCGACCTCTGAACTCAGGTAGATTCCAGTGGCTTTCAGTGATCTTATTTTTTCAAAAGCTTATTCTAAGCCTGTGCATACATGGGCAAAAGGAAGTGGGGGGGGGGGGATTGATTCCCTGGTTATCTTAAAAGACATTTGAAAACAGGGTAATAGTGGAGAACTGAATATATAGAAGCATAATGTACATATAGGTGATATTTGCTTTCTGTGTTATAAGGTTCTTATCACATGGCCAAGCGAACATTACAGTGAATTTGAAGCTGATTGGCTGAAGAAGAGATGCTTTTCACAGCAGGCCAGAGAGAAACTCCAAAGAGAATTGTTTTTTCCAGGTAACCTTGTCATGGTTTTCAATGTTGTTTAAAACTCGTGTGGGAAGAAATTTGCTCAGAATCAAATTCAAACCCTTTGCTTCCGTTAAAATGCTATGGTAATTTATGTGGAATGTCTAATGACTTACCAACAGGGGTTATTTTGGATAGTGATGAAAGAAATATAGATCCATCCTAGACATTCTCAAGAGACAGGAAGGAAAGAAATACAGCAAACTTGTATCCTTGTCATATACTGTGAAATCTGGCACAGCAGATATTCCAAAAGTGTCTGCTGTACAGTGGCAGAACAAACCAGAGTTGCTCTTCTTAATAATTTGACCCAAGCCTGGAAAAGCACCAAATCAACAGAGCAGGAATTCCTAACCTGGTGTTATCCATGACGCCCATGATGTGTTTATAGGAGTGTCTGTGTGTGTGTGTTTGTGTATGTTTATATAAGTCTGCACAGCGCATTTGCTTGGGGAGAATTTATATGAGTCTCAAGGGAACCTGTGACCCCAGGAATGTTCAGGAAATCTGCATTAATGAATGCTATGGAAGAAAAAAAAAAGAATTCATTCTTGAGCAGAGAGACAAAATAAAATAAATACTAGTATAGGTATTTTTAAAGTGTGACTTTTAGGAGATACACAATAATTACCGCTCAAGAAGAGGCACTAGAGAGAAGTGAGGAGTGTTAATAATTCACTCTCTGTGTAATTTGAAGATTTGTATCAAAGATTATGTGGGGCAAAGGCAAATTCTAGAAGCATGATGATTCTTATGTATTTTCTAGAACCTCAACTTCTACAAACACACTAACAAGGAAAGTTTTCCTGAACTCTCTTTTCCATTGTTAACCGGAAATATTGGACCTCTGCCTCTTTGAGCAATTGACCATGCTCCTTGAATTTTGTAACACATCTCCAGGAATTCTGGGTCATATCCCAAGATAGAGATAGTACCTTACTTCTTTCAATTCTGAGTATCTCAGATATGTGCGGTAACTCTCCATGCTTTTAAGTGCTAGACTTATAACAGTTTACTGGGTATGGAAATGTTACTAATTAATTGACTTCGACCACACAGCTTGACCTTGTTCTCTGGTTATCAACAAAGTATGACTGTTCTTTTCAATTCAAGTACAGGCCAGTCTTGTTGAGAACTAGGTCCCCAGCAAGCTATTCTTGGTAGATATAGTGTCTGTCTGCAAACTGAAGGGTCCTGGGATTTGATTCCAGTCCTGGGCACATACCTCTGTGTGGGCTCGATTCCCAGTAAGGGGGAGGGTGCAGGAGGCAGCCAATCAATGATTCTCTCTCATCGCTGATGTTTCTATCTCTCTCTCTCCCTCACCCTTCCCCTCTGAAATCAATAAAAATTAAAAGAAAAGAAAAGAAAAGAAAAGAAAAGAAAAGAAAAGAAAAGAAAAGAAAAGAAAAGAAAAGAAAAGAAAAGAAAAGAAAAGAAAAGAAAAGAAAAGAAAAGAACTAGGTCCCTCTAGTTGCCTTAGCCTCACCTTTCAGACAACTGACATGATTTTGTTCCAGTGCTTTCTGAATAAACCACCAGGAATCATTTTCCTCTTTCTCAAGCCCAGCCAGCTGGCAGAATCTATATGGTTACCCGGGAAAATATGTTTTCCCTGTCTTCCCCAGTAAGTGCATTGCTAGTTACTTCACGGACTCTCCAGTTACATAACCAAGTAGCAATTGGGTCAAATAGCAGAATCACAAATGTATTATTATTTTTTTAATTTATTTTAAATTTCTTCTGGCACTCAAAATATTTTTTTCTTTAACCATGTCCTGATTTTGTAATCCTGTTGGATTTTACTTTCATTTCCTTCAGGCTCATCTGTTAATTATTTCAGGGAATAAAAGCCAACTTCTTATTATTACAGCTTAAGCTTTTAAGCATTGTAAAAGGATACGGCCACCCCCTCCCATTAATATTGCTTGACGAGCACAGTTTATAGCTTACATTTCTCAATGCTATCAGGCAGTAGCAAAATGGAAATGATACTACACTCCGTTAAGTAGTGGAAAAAGCTGGTCACACAGCAATCATGAATAATATAAGGAGAACTGGCTGCTATTTAGACACTGGAAAATATTTTAATGGTTTAGAACAAGATCAGGTTTTTGAAATATATTCTCAAGCTGTGCAATCGGTGGGTTAAAGAATAAATTAATGGGCCATTTTAGAGAGTATATTGTTTTTATGGCTTTTTGCCCGTAAAACTTGACACGTTATTTTACTGCCATTGCATATTTTCAAACATTTGTACTCCAGAACATGTAAACAGACTCAGTGACATTTGTGAAAGGCCTTTGTTGGGTTTTCAGTCCTCAGTGGCAATTCCTCCTCTTCTGCACTCCCCTTAGAGTGAGGAGAGCCTTTTAAAATCTGGCATCAAGATGCAGACCACTTTCCCTTGATCTTCCCTTGGCACTAGATGTGGAACTCAAAACTGAAGAGACAGATGATAATCAGCCAGAAAAGGTTTTTGTCATGGGACAGGCACAGCTGGGAGGAAGACATGGCTAATAATCATCCCTCACAATCTCCTCTCTAGTGGCACATAGATTGGGTACCCATTTTGTGCTAGAAGCTCTTTAAGGAAATACCAAGTTTAAAAAAAAAAAAAAAAGTGTGGATTTTGTCCTCCAGGATGTACCAAGTCTAGGCGGGTGCATGAGCCTTGGAAACAAGTAAGTAAAGTACATTAATTTAAGTCCGTGATGGCACACATGAAAGGATAACTACAACATAGAGGAAGGAATCTGAAGAGATGAGGAAAGAGTCCCCAAAGGGAAGTCATGCGTTAGCTGAGTTTTGAATAATCAGTTTGTCAGGCAAAGATAGAAAGTGAGGAAATTCTCAACAGAGAAAAAAGCCTGTGGAAAATCACAGAAGTATAAAATAGCAGGGTAGGTTTAGGAATCTGCAATTAGTTTAATGCTGGTAAAGTTAAAATTATTAGTCCACAAGACCAAAGGAAGAGGCCAAACCGTGAAGAGGCTTAAGTGCCCTATGAAGAGTCTCAGTCCTAAAACCTTCAGCAAGGGAGTTTCTCAACATAGAGCTCAGGCTTATTCCCTCCATTAGTTCTCAAGCTTATGTTATAAATGAATTTAAGATCTTGATAAATTTAATAATAGTATTGCTTTTCTTTTCTTTAGAATTCATTTTACAGTTTCAGAGTTGAATCTTTCTGATTTTGACCAAAGGCATATAATTTTTTAAACGCTTACATGTCTGTGAATGTCTCCTTAGCTTTGTTGCATTCCCCCTTCTCCACTGTACCTCTTTGGTTCTTGGTTTGTATTCATTTTTAAAGAGACAGTTAAGTGATTGGATCTGTGTTGTAGAAATGTCCTGATCTGGTCATCTGTATTGAATGGACTGGTTTGGGGAGTGACTGGGAGCAGGGTGACCATAGCACAGCCTAGAAATGATTCTGCAAAAGACTTTGAGAGCCTACACCAGGGTAGTAGCAGAAAGGATGGGGGTAGAATCTGTATTCAAGAGAAACATATATCGACCTGTAGGACAGGAGGTCAGTGGTCCTGTTCTTTAATCTCTACCAAAACAATAATTACAACAAATATAAGTACCCTGTATTCATTGCAATATTATTCATAATAACCAACATATGGAAACAGTCTATGTGTCCATTTATATATAAATGAATAAAGATGTCACTCACACACACACACACACACACACACACACACACACAATACGAGGCAGGCATAAAAAAGGAAATCTTGCCATTTTGACAATATGAATGGACCTAAAGAGTATTATGCTAAATGAAATAAGTCAGACAGTGAAAGACAAGTACTGCATAATTTCACTTATATCACTTATATGTAGAAGCTTAAATAACAAATCAACAAACAAAACAAAATAAAATTCATAGATACAAAGAATAGATTGGTGGTTATCAGAGAGGAAGGGAGTTAGGGAATGGGCACAATGAGTGAAAGGAGTCAATATGCTGATGATAATAACTAGATTTATTGTTGGGATCACTTTGTAATATATACAAAGATCAAATTATTATGCCATATACCTAAAACTAATATGTTATGTACCAATTTTACCTGGATTAAAAAAATAATAAATAGAAAAATGTTTAAATAAATAATATCCTGGCCATGTGTTTTTAATTACATTTTTAAAAAGCTGATGTGTTTAAAAACCTTTAAAACGTTTGAGGATATTTTTGAAATCCTAAAGCAAGTCTAATTCAAGGAAGAATTATTACAGTCTCCTTCCTTTTCATGTTTTTTTTTTTCAGTATACTTGCCACGTCAAAAATTAAGGGAAAAATACCTTTTTTACTATTGGAAAAGCAATGTTCTGCAGTTACATTAAAGTAAATTTCTTCTTTATGTTTTTTTTTTCAGAGTAAAAGTAGAATGAGCTTTCTTGAATGAATGAAAAACTTTCATTTCTCAGAAACTAGGCTTACTTTTTCTTGCAGACTAGAAGTGGGTTTTAAAACATTGGCAGTTGGACTCTAAATTTAGCATTTATAAATTTAGAAAATGTAAAAGTGTGGCAATTTCAAGTAAAGTTGGACCACTTTATATTCATTTTTACCAAACCTGCACATATGTTATATATTTAGCCTGCCATTTTTGCTAGTGCCTATACATCAGGAGAGTCATCAGACACACACACACACACACACACACACACACACACAGCACAACTGGTTAAAAATTGTTACCTCTCACTTCTGATTCTACTTTGCTTTTCCAAAGTGGCAGATCACAGACCTACACAACTTTAGCTTGGGGGTAATAAACATTTTCATCATACTTACATTTATTCTTTTTTAAGTTTCAGTCCCAAACTTTTAATGTGCCCATGGCAAGAAACAAATAAAAATAATCAAACAAATTAGCTGACTTTTAGCCTCTGTTCTATTCAATGAATGCTCTAACATTATTTTTTTTCCTCAAGATTCTGCATTTTTCTCAATCTATAACTTCGCTGTTAAT